TTGGTTTAATGATATTACCTGGTCTAACAAAATCAGATAGCCCAAAATCAATGACTTTCATCACAGAATCCTCATCTTTTGAGACAAAAAGAAAATTCTGCAAAGCAAAAGATATTAGAGGTAACTATGCAAACATAAAATAGCTTATTCATTGAAAGGCACAACCAAATTATTCTAAGTCACTATCTAGAAATTACTATGGCAGTATCAATACCTTCAGAAATTGAAAATCAACATATATTGAATTTCCGGCCAAGAGAGGTGTGTATGCATTAACATGTCCCTTAACAAATTCAATAACCTGAAATTTCATAGATCGTAAAAGATAATAAATGAATAAAACAACGGGAAAGAGATTCATTCACTACATTCCAGAAAAGACCCAACAAGCAAATGTGAGATATAATAGATATATTTATGCATGGGAGTTGGAACCGAAGAAACCTGATTTTGGAATGTGTCGAAAACGGTGGAGAAGAGATTGAGCATCCCAGCGTGCACCATCAGAGGCTCGTGGCCTTCCTTGTCACCGAGACTATCCAACGCCACCAACTTCCTTGTCGTGCCAGGTAATCATTTCTTACCACAGCCGTAGATTCCCACATACAAGTCACACCAAATTCACAAAATACAAAAAATTAAAATTAAAAATTAAAATAAAATAAAGAGGGTTAGGGTTTTACCCTAACAATCAGAAGCTTCTCCTCTTCACAAATGGGGGACGCCAGGAGACCCTCACCAGTCCCCATCTCCACCTTGGACAAAGCCCAACGCTCTGACCCCAGGCCCCTCATCTTCGTCTTTAAGGACGACTTCCTCGCCATGGTCCACCGCGACGAGCTCCTCCAGTACGCGCTCGTCTACGGCAACTACAAGGGCGTCCCCAAGCTGCAGATTCGCGAGGCGCTCGCCAAGGGCTGCGACACCGTGCTCCGGGTCGACATCCAAGGCGCCGCCACGCTCCGCAAGGCCCTCGGCAAGTCCGCCGTGTTTGTCTTCGTGGCAGCCGAGAGCAAGATGGCCTTGGTGGAGAGGAGAGATCCTAGAGGGAGGAGGTTGACGTTGTGAGAATGGTGGAGGCTGGGTGTTGGGAAGAAGCATATGGCTTTGAGGCACTTCACATTGCAACGCACAACCCTAGCTTCTATACTACATCTGTTATTTTGAAAATCGATGTAGATCTACTTGTAAATATTTATAAAAATGCCACCGCGGATTTAAATCTACATCGGTTCAAATAAAAATGATGTAAAATGCTTAATAATTACATCGGTTTTATACATAACCGATGTAAATTTACTTTACATTTAACTCATATTTACGAATATGCCACTGCATCCAATTTTTACATCAGTTCTACTTAACGATGTTAAACAACAATTTTCTAGTAGTGAAAAAGTCTACCCACTACAGGAATATCCTCAACTTCCATATTAGCAATAAATTCATTGAACATTGTCGTGTCCACGGAGTTAAGGATCGCTCCATGGAGGTTGACTCTTTCTGTTTCATATCTTACACTATTAAAATCCCCAGCGAGGCATCACAAATTGTTGGAACTACTATTCCTTCTTCCAATTAGCTCCCTTATCTTATATAAATAAAACATTATTAAATAGATAAAATAAAATAATAATTTTATAAATTAATTTTATTAGGATTGGTATAAAATTAAATAAAAATAAAAAATAAATATTATATTAAAAACTAATATAATATTTATTTGAAAATTTTTTAATACGACACTTAATTAGCACCCAGGCCACACAATAAACCATTCACGGGACACCATGAATCTGTTAAGCCTACTCTTCACCGTGCCGTTTGGTTTGAACCAAGTAAAAAGTCTACCCACTATGGGAATATCCTCTACTTCCATATTAGCAATAAACTCGTTGAACATTGTCGTGTCCACGGAGTTATGGATCGCTCCATGGAGGTTGACTCTTTCTGTTTCATATCTTACACTATTAAAATCCCCAGCGAGGCACCACAAATTGTTGGAACTACTATGCTCAAAATTAACAGGTAATGGAGAAATTATAAGTTGTTGGCAGCACTCTCACTCCAGACTACAGCTTTAGTTTTAGTTTTTGTTCATGCAAGTAGGCACGGTCAAAATGACAAAATCTGAGCCCATAAATTGAACCACGACATTGCAACCCCAACCGAGAAACTTACCCCTATACCATCCATATAGCTCTCCAGGAGCCGATTCAATAAATCAAGGACTCATTTAATAATCCCAGCACAACCCCTTGACAATACTCATTTCTTACCACAGCCGTAGATTCCCACATACAAGTCACACCAAATTCACAAAATACAAAAAATTAAAATTAAAAATTAAAATAAAATAAAGAGGGTTAGGGTTTTACCCTAACAATCAGAAGCTTCTCCTCTTCACAAATGGGGGACGCCAGGAGACCCTCACCGGTCCCCATCTCCACCTTGGACAAAGCCCAACGCTCTGACCCCAGACCCCTCATCATCGCGGCCCCAGCGACGACGGCAAGCACGCCCTCATTGCCCACCTCCGCGAGTCCCGCCGCGACCTACACTTCGTCGTCACCGCCACCACGCGTCCCCGCCACCCCTCCGAGCTCCACGACCATGACTACCTCTTCGTCTTTAAGGACGACTTCCTCGCCATGGTCCACCGCGACGAGCTCCTCCAGTACGCGCTCTGCTACTTCAACTAGAATTTCTTCCCCAATCTGCAGATTCGCGAGGCGCGCGCCAAGGGCTGCGACACCGTGCTCCGGGGCGACATCCAAGGCGCCGCCACGCTCCGCAAGGCCCTCGGCAAGTCCGCCGTGTTTGTCTTCGTGGCAGCCGAGAGCAAGATGGCCTTGGTGGAGAGGAGAGATCCTAGAGGGAGGAGGTTGACGTTGTGAGAATGGTGGAGGCTGGGTGTTGGGAAGAAGCATATGGCTTTGAGGCACTTCACATTGCAACGCACAACCCTAGCTTCTATACTACATCTGTTATTTTGAAAATCGATGTAGATCTACTTGTAAATATTTATAAAAATGCCACCGCGGATTTAAATCTACATCGGTTCAAATAAAAATGATGTAAAATGCTTAATAATTACATCGGTTTTATACATAACCGATGTAAATTTACTTTACATTTAACTCATATTTACGAATATGCCACTGCATCCAATTTTTACATCAGTTCTACTTAACGATGTTAAACAACAATTTTCTAGTAGTGAAAAAGTCTACCCACTACAGGAATATCCTCAACTTCCATATTAGCAATAAATTCATTGAACATTGTCGTGTCCACGGAGTTAAGGATCGCTCCATGGAGGTTGACTCTTTCTGTTTCATATCTTACACTATTAAAATCCCCAGCGAGGCATCACAAATTGTTGGAACTACTATTCCTTCTTCCAATTAGCTCCCTCCAAACTAAGGCATATAATTAGACATTAATGGTATATACACACGCGAGAAACGCAAATATTTAATAATATTACTTGCTTATATAATCTAGACATATATTTATTAGGGGTAGTTGAAAGTTGAACAAAACCTTTTTTTTATTTATTTATTACGATTATATAATTTTCTCGATATATTATTGGTTCACTCATTAAACACAAGTTATCGATGATTTTTTATTTATTTTAATCTCGGTAAAGATAAAATAAGATAAGATTAATT